AATCTCCTATTTTAACAATTCCATGGACAGCCAGGTGTTTTATATAACACGACTTGTTCTCAATAAGGATAAACTTATTGTTCCATATTGTTTGGTTAATAACATCGTCATAAGAAACAACGTTTGTTGTGCTAACATAAGACCACGCATCGAGACACTCTTTGTAGAAGTCCGGTAGATAAATAGGAAGTTTACAGGTCTCAAAATTGCAGCATAAAATCTATAAATTGTCTTTCATCCGCAAGTTATGTTCTTGTTCCTTTGAGATTACTGCTAACCCTTTTAATTTGTGTCAGTCAAGGCAAAACCTAGTCGCAAATTTGCGACTACTCTCGTTTTTCTAGTCGCGAATAAGTAAAGTTAAGTCGCAAATGCGACTGTATTGATCGCAATTTCGAGCCCTGAAATACCACAAAGCCTCAAATTAGTGCCTGAGTCCTTATTTCAAATATAGGATAAGGCTTGTAAGGAGACTTGTTGGAGGGGAGAGTTGTTCTGAGGGAAGCACTTATTTGAATTTTCAGTTTAGTCTTAAACATCAATCTAATGTAAGTAACTTAAGTGCAAAGTTTTCCATATAGTAGTTCACAAACTGAAACATTGTACTAATTCTCAAATCTGCTCATGTTACTATAATGGTAATCACCTGTTGCTCAACATTGTCAACACTGTGGTAAGCCTTTGTTTAACTGTTTTCTCTAAAGGAGGAAGGGAGGCGCTTATTTAGGAGTTTGGCCAATACAAGGGGCACTTATTTAAGGGGGGTGCTTATTCAAGGAATTACAGTAGCTTAATTTATAATTGTTTGCAGGAGCTTTTTTTGGCAGGGGAACTTGCTTGGTTTTCCGGATTGATTGGTGACCAGTAATTACATCCAGAATGTAAAAACTTTAATATACTACTCTCATTTCAGATTTTAACAAAAGACAGTGTGACCGTGGCAGTAGATGCTGTGGTGTATTTCAGAATCCATGATGCCACTACTTCCATAACTAATGTGGAGAATGCCAATCGTTCCACCCGTCTGCTGGCACAGACCACCCTGCGAAATGTGCTGGGGACCAAAAACCTGAGCGAGATTTTGGCTGACCGTGAGGTAATCAGCCATGTCATGCAGGTAAGAACTTTATCGTACTTTATTTTTGAATGGTTATTTTTGTAGCCCAGTTATCATTGCTATGGTCAATTCTTTCGTAGGAAACTACAAGCTGTGTTTGACAAGTCTCTGCACATCTGTTAGAAATAATTCATTGAAAACCAAGAGTTTTTCTCCTTGTTGGTAGTTATCATCAAGTTATAACATCTTACATTAACATTAATTTAAAATGTGTGTCTACCTTTTAACAGACCTCGTTGGATGAGGCCACTGATCCTTGGGGTGTCAAAGTGGAGCGTGTTGAAGTGTAAGTAAATATTTACCCAATTTTTCCTGTTTTAACCATAATACATGTCAACTTAGCTACACAAACAAAATCAAGGGTCATTTAAAGTTACAAAGATTGCCATAACTTACCGGTAATGACCTTGTTATCTTGTGGCAATTTGAGTCTTAGTTCCCCATTGGATTTATGAACTTCTTCTTTGATTTGCAGGAAGGATGTGCGTCTTCCTCAACAGCTTCAGAGAGCCATGGCAGCTGAAGCTGAAGCCTCCCGTGAAGCTCGTGCTAAGGTATATCTAAAAGGTTTTTCTATTCAGAGTCTTTGAGTGGTTGGTAAGCAATCCCCGCAGTATAGCCATAGTATTTGTGCCTTGAAATTCTGTTTTTCTCTGCTCAATGTCGAAACTTCACCATTTTAGGTCATTGCTGCTGAGGGTGAGATGAATGCCTCTCGTGCTCTGAAGGAAGCTGCTGACATCATTTCTGAGTCTCCTTCTGCTCTCCAGCTGCGATACCTTCAGACGCTGACAACCATCTCAGCTGAAAAGAATTCCACAGTCCTTTTCCCTCTTCCTGTGGATTTCCTCAGCAGATTTTTGCCTGATAGGAAAGGGTAACTAGAAAGACTGAGGAAACTTGAATTTCACTCATCGATGCAAGATATTTCACTTTAGACATTAAAGTAGTCAGAGCTTTTCATTCTAATGGTATGCAGTAGTTTTTCCTGGAGAGCAATCTTCGCTGACGTCCTTGTTTGCATTAATTTTTAGTTTGTATAGTGTGATCCTCCAGGTGAGGGTAGTTCTGAAAAGAACTGTTGTTGCCTCTTAACAGATGTCAACAACTACCGGCGCCTTACGAACAACTTATCCACGACGGAAACAAAACCGACCAACGGATTTCTAACAGACCGACTTGATTTGACCAACAATAGACGGACCAAAAAGCGACCAATTTTACTAACGATAGATGGATCGAAACCAACCACAGACTGATGACAAACTTTACGCGAGTCTTTCAGCCAATACCAACACTGATGGCTAAACTGACCAATCACTTTCAACAGACCAAACTTATAACATTACGACTGACAAACGCTATTCACGTCACTCGGAAGATGACTTCCGCTCAGGTTGTCGAAACGTCAGTCAATAACAACAGTTCTTTTCAGAACTACTCTCACCCCAACGATCACACTATACGAACTACTGATACTCCTGGGTCCAAACCATTTGCTATGTTCCATTGATTTTTGTCCTTATTAACATACAACTTTTCACAGAGAAGGCTTCATGCTAGATAGAAATTGACTCCGAACATTTAAAAGCTTGTGAAACGTAGTGATTGGTTAATGTTTGGCTCTTTGGGCATAATATGCACAGAGAAATTGGCTTCCAAAATTCGCAAAATTTCCAGGTGGGAAAAGCACTAACTTTTTTGTGGTACAAGGATTATTTTGGTAGTAGGGACATTATAATTATCATTCACCAATGGAATTCCAATGGACTGTCTTTGTACTCTGAACCGGTTATTTTTTGCTTGAGATCTTCATTTTAAACTATTATATGGTTATCTGCACATTTTCTAGCTGAAAGGGTAAGCTTTGTTGAAAAGCAGCTAAGTTGAGTTTGGTGCTAAAACATTTTGCCTTTTACATAAGGCCAAACAAGTATTACGCATGCAATATAGTAGTGCTACAATATATCAAATAAATGAATGCCAGGTTGGCGACAGGTTATTTTCTCTAGTTGTAGATGTTTCATGTGGATCATGCTTCTGGTTATTTTATGTACAATTGTTTTTTGGCAGCTAGGAGTAATGCTGAAGTGTAATTATTATAAAATAGTGAAAATTGCTTCAATGTCGTAGTTGGTTTTAGTGATTTAAAATACTTTAATAGTTGTTGCCAGTTGCAATAAAATTACGCTAGTCAGATCATCTTATGCATCAGGGTATACTGACTGACAGGCAGGTGAAGCCTCTTGATGCAGGTGCTTATGTCAAATTTCTTGGCCAGTTGGCCAGAACTTGAAAGTGTACCTCCTCCCAGGGCTGACGTGTGACACAGTGTCATGCCTGTTTCATGAGACCTTTTCATTAACTAGTTGATATTATTATACTGAAAAAGAAACAAAGGTTTTAGTTGCTAAGGAAACCTTTTTTGGCTGTGACGGCTGGCAACTGAAACAATTATTTGTCAAATTGGAATTTAATGCTGTATTCACACTTCGAGAGTTAGTCCTTACTCCGACAGGGTTGCCACATGTCAGGAAATGGTCAGGGAAACAAATTCTTCACGGTCAGGGGATAGTCGAGGAATTTTATTTGAGTCACGGAAATTTGGCATTTTGATGAAAAGACAGGGAAAACTGAAATAAATTAAACACTGCTGATTTAATACTATTGAAGGCTGGAAGAAACATTTAGGGTCACCATCTGTGATCTCAACGATTGACCGAGTGGAAAACGCGGCTGTAAGGGAAGGCTTGAAGCCACTACTATACCTGCCATTTTGTATTTATTTGGTCATGGAAATTTTAATTTTATCAGGGAAAAGTCGGAATTTTGAGAAGTGATGTTTGTGGCCGCCATGTCTGACGAGGGACTAACACTCCAGACGTCCGCTTCACTAACTTGTTACTGCGGTAAAATGACCATAGTCAACTTTAAGGTTACAAATAACTAAGTATATCAAAGTATAACTAAAAAACGCCTTGAAAGAGCTTCTAAAAGTCAAAATTGAATAATAAACACACTAGAGTATTGATCTGTGTCTGTCTTCCAGTGAAATAAACACTATTTCATGCAAACTTTATTGGTAGGTAAAATCGACATTACTGGTAATACAGGATACAGAGCAAAACTTCCTGATCTCGAAGGTTTCTAACAATATTATGTTTTAACCTTGTTCTTTGATTTCATTGTGTATCACATCTCTATCCTCCGACCATGATAAGGCGCGTTTTTCTCCGCACACAAAAGATATAAATACACTCTCTTTGTTATGCCCTTCTTCGGTACAGCTTACATCGTCTTTCTGAGTTTTCACTAGTTTCTTCTGAATGTGTCGGTGTGGTCACTGACACGGACCAGTTTCTCTCTAGTGGTGTTCTGCCGTGATTCTAGCTGCTTTTTTTCGGTTGGTCATACAGTTAGTCACGTGGCAGATAGTTGCTCAACTTTTTTGACAGCATGTTTTAAAAGGCCATAACACCAATTTTCAGACCAATGTCATGCGTGTTGTTATGGTGAAAGAAGAGGGATTGGATGGACATTGACCAATGTCTTGGAAGACCTTGATTATGCGGATGATATTGCGCTGCTCCGACACCAGGACATGCAGGCAAAGACCAATGCCTTGGCATTGGCATCAGTATTTTCGTTCCAAATTTCGTGAAATTCTAGTTAGTGGTTCTTGAGAAATAGGCGTATTTCCGAGAGTGCAATTTTTCATTCAATCGCAATTTTTTTGACTTACTACGCATGCGTTGCATTTAACTGGGTTCTTTTGGTAACAAAGAAAAAGCTGAGAATTGCTGGGTTCTTTGCATCGTTACCTTTTCTAGCATGTCTTTGTAATAAAAGACTAAAGCCATCAATACACCACGTTCAATTCTAGAGAAAAATAATACAGATAGTGCGGGTGTTGAGTAAATAAAATGATCGCTCTATTGACGGCATGTTTGTTTTTTGCAATCCTTGTGCACGCGCTGAATTGCATCAGCAAAAGCGCGCGCGAAAACTGTGTTCGGCCACCTTAAATGCTCAAGGAACAGTGAAAAAAGGTTCTTTGGTAGGGCAATTAACAACTTCTTGTAGAAAATACGAAAAGCAACGTGAATACTTTTGGAACAACTTTTGAGCAACTTTTTGACTTTTGGGGCAACATTTAAGCAAATTTTTGAGAAATGTTGAGCATGGGCAGCTAGCCGTACTCTCCATTTTCTCGCTCCGGGAGGTCGAGGGCGGGAAAATGATGAGAGACCCTGGGAACGAGGCTGCAGAAACCTCCGTTGGCGGGGTGGGGGTGGTGGGGGGTAGAGGGGGTAAAATATTAGGAAAAATGGAAAATTCTGTGCTCATCGGGCACACGTATGTGCGCTCATGTCTTGAAAGGGTTAATTAAACCGAAGGGCAAAGATTTTATGGTAGTTTGAAAACTTGCAAAATTACTGAAGGATTTGTATGGACAACCATTGGAGCGTGACTGGAGGGCAAAACGTTCTCTTCCCATACAGATCCTTCTAATTTCTAACGTCCATAAAAATTCCCTCTCAAGGGATATAAACCTGAACATTTCTTCCCATAAAAATCCTTCTAATTTCTAACGTCCATAAAAATTCCCTCTTAAGGGATATAAACCTGAACATTTGCATGTAGGCTATATATTTGTAAATGTTCGTTCCATTTCTGATAACATTATGCACTACCAACGACTAAATGTGTGTTATTTATAAGCACCGTTGCAAAAGGCCTATTAGTTATTCGGAGGGTGTCAATTGGGTGGTGGCTTTTTTTTTGGCTAACGGTTAATTCAGTTTGCTTACGGTTAAGAGAAAGCTTAGAAATTAATTACAATTGTTTTTAAAAAGCTAGAAATTTATTTTCATCAGGTTTAAAAGAGGTAGAAGAGTATTATCACGATGGCTAGGTGGAAAACGCGGGACCGGGATCCTGGGGTACGGGGTACGGGATCCCGGGGTGTGGAAAACGCGTGGTCTGGTGGAAAATGCGGGGTCTACGCGGAAACCACGGGGTCTAAGAGGAAAACACGGGGAAAACCGTTTTTCGAGGAAATATGAATTTTCTTCACTAAAATGAGAAGTCGAAATTTTGTTATTTTAAAATTGCAATGAAAATCAATTCCGTTTCTCGGCGTAAAACGCGTTTTTTGATCAAAGCAAATTAAACACTTCGTGGCAAAGAACACCATGCAATAGCCAACGTGCCGTGCAGCGGTTTTCTTTTGCATGGGACGTCTATGTTATTTTTCTTAGTAACTTGCGTGGTTTTTTTATACCTTTGAAAAAGAAATAATGAAATAATAAAGATTGTTTTGCTTACTATCTTAAACCATGAAAAAGCCTTTCTATACAAATAATCACTTTCGACCGGTCATTATTTATCGACTGAGGGATGGCGTGGGATTTTCGGTTAAAGATAGTAACATTTTGCTGATCCCCCACTTAAATGTTATTTTATTGAATTATTCCCTTCATAGCTATTAATAAATTTCATGATCCCCCTCAATGTCTTCGCACACATGTTCACCCTTCGACATGTATATTTAGTGCTTTTAACGGTCATATGACAGTAATATTTCTAATCATGATGCTGACTTACAGATTAATGAAGCCGCCATGGTGCAGTCTCTTGATCCGTGTCTTCCCGATATCTGATCAGGGCTCTAACAGAAGTTTTCACAGGCGTCCAATAAAGCATAACAGGCGACATAAATTAAAGTGAGGTCCAGGATTCGCCCGAAGGGACAAGCCAGCTTACGGGGTCCGGGGGTACGTTCCCCCAGAAAAGTTTCAAATTTTAGGTGGCCAAAGAATAAGATGTGATTTCATGCATTTTGGGGGGAAGGTGTTACGGAAAATGAGCTGTTTATGATCATAAAATTAGATGTAGCAAGTAGCGCTGTTTCACCATTCTAAATAAAATACTTTTTTCTTCTTGAAAAGTCACAGTCTGTAAGTCTTAATTTATTGTTATATGTTTTTAAATTTCAATGACCAGAACAGGTGGCTACATTCGATTTTACAGCCGGTAGAATTCCGCCGTTCTACTGAGAGCCCCGTGACTAATGTGGTCTGATGTCAGTTGACATAACAGCAACTAACCATCCCAAGTGTTTGGAAACTGCAAAGTTACTTTTTAGAGTGCAAAAAAGCCGTCCACCAAGTCTGTATGGGTATGTGACATTTAGTGATCATCCCTTTCGGGCTCTCAGTTATGACTGATTCCTTCCTCTGGCATCCTAAAAATCCGATGATCCCCCCAAAAATCTCCCCCCACCCCGCTCCAGGGGATAAATACTGACCGGCCCCCAATCTACAATACGACAGAAGTAATTATAAACCTGAAGTCTGATCATTTATGTATCGCTAGTGAGGTCCCAGTCGATAGTTAATGTAAAGTGAATAACATTTTGATTTCACTAGAACAACATTTTTTTTTTGTAAACTCGTGTGTAAGGAGACGGCGAAAACGAAATCCACATTCGCAAGAGTGGAGATTATTCGCGCTGAAATGAACGCAAGCAAGTACAGTAAGGGGCCGACTTAAGGAACACCAGAATTTATTTTGGAACTGCTATTTCAAGAAGGTTACTGTATTTTCTCCATTAATAACCCTTAAAACCTCCTTAGCTTTTGTTTCAAATTTGGCCTGGCTGGGCCAGGCGTATTTTATTTGTTTATTCTTTATATTCCATGGTAATTTTTGTTGCCATTTCTTGAGGTCCTACTTACAAGTAACCGGCTTTTAATCGAGCAAATACGGCAACTGTCGCTTTTCATGGTTAAAGATACTAAGCAAAACAATCTTTATTATTTCAATATGTTTATTTAAAGGTAAAACAAAAATCCACGCAGGTTATTGCGAAAAATAAAATACACGCCCCATGCAAAAGAAAACCACTGCACGGCACGTTGGCTCTTGAATGGTTTTCTTTCCACGAAATGTTTGAGAAACGCGTTTCACGCCGTGATTTTCATTGTAATTTTAAAAATTCGACTTCTCATTTTAGAGAGGAAAATTCATATTTTGGCGAAACAACGTTTCCCCCGTGTTTTCCACTCAGACCCTGTGTTTTCCACCAAACCCTGTGTTTTCCACCAGACCCCGTGTTTTCCACACCCCGCGTTTTCCACACTCCGGGACCCCGAACCCCGTACCACGGGACACCGGCCCCGCGTTTTCCACCTAGCCGTCTGACAAGAGATCTTGACACTTGCACTCTCGTGGCTAATTTCTTTTTTTTGTTGTTTTGTTTTGTTTTTTTTTACGGTTAATACTTTTTACGGCTAACGATTACAATTTTCTACATTTTACTCCTAACGGCTTGATAGGCCTAACAGTCAGCCCCATTGAGTCACTATTACGGTTGGTCAAGCCTCCCATCGATATTATATTTTCAATAAATTGTTGTTGTTATTTACTAGCTTAGAAATCCACCACATCAGACACAAGTAACAATAACAATGGAAAATTTATGGCAAATAAATTTGAATAACAAGATGAGAGTATTAGACGAATGTGATTGGCTGTTTCACGGGAGGAGTATTTATCACGTGATGTAGCTGCGTAGGAGTGTGTGTTTTTTACAGCCCTGTTGAAGACCTTTGCTTTGCAGTTGAAGATCTGTCGATTTGCTCGGCGTGAAAATGGCTTCGGATGGTAAGAAGTTATATTTTATCCTGCAGCTGGGCGGTAGAAATATTTAAGTATTATGGACGTATAATTTATAAGAAATTTTGCGTTGGATGGGTGCTGTTTAATACCCTTCAATTCTATCTTTGATACGTGCGTGTTGTAAGCTTATAAGCTTCTGTGTATACAAAAAAGCAAGGTTGCTCCACACTCCCGTAGCAACGTCAAAGCTACGTATATGTGCTTGATTAACTTGAATAACTGTGCTGAAATTGTGCACTTTCGATGCTTAGCACGAATCTTGCGTTTGCAAGCTTCACGAACCGAGAGATGACAGTGAAAAATAATTGAAACGATCCTTGCTGAGAAATGCGAGTGATCGATATCTCTTCCGAATTAATATGTTATGCTTGTAGACACTAAGGTTACTGGGTTTTTGTAGTTCAGATTCAAGCGATGTTGCGCCTTTTTTGTGAGTTTTAACTTTTCTCTCTTCATAGTTCTTTGGCTTACGTTACTATTTTTTGCTATGACGCATGATTTTGCGGAACCGCAGATTTTTCCGATCTAACGGGAAGTGTGTTAGCACTGAAACTGTAAGAGCTTGGTCTAAAATGAAAGCCTCCTTAATTTTCAAACACTTTTTGGGGTTAAATCCTTTTTTGTAGTTATTGAGTTAAGCTTAATTGTTTGCACAAGAAGTATCGGCAGTTCAAGAGATCGTCAGCCTGCCTTTTCTGACCGTACATGAGAGGCGACTCGCATAAATATTTTCCAAGTGTGGCCGGTAGCCCTGCTTAATTTCCGTGTACATTTCTTCATGCCAAAGTGAAATGAATTACTTTATGTGCCTTTCCATTTTATTTAAAATGCTGTCAAGAATTTGCCTGGGCTTGTTGATACATCATTCAACAAATGACATTTTACAGTGCTCAGCTCAATCAAACTCAATCTGTTGATTGAGTTCGGCAATCAAACCAATCGAACTCAGTCAATCAGATTATGTTCGACTGAGTTCAGTTTAACACAATCCAATGGATTGCATTTGATTATGTTTGGCGATCGAACTCCATTGAACGCAAACCAGTGGATTGCTTCCGATTGTGTTCAGTGAATAAATTCATTTGAGTGAAGGTCATGTTCTGTGGTCTGAAAAACTTAATTTGCATGAAACGCAAGTTATACTTGAGTAACTTACGGTGGCGGAACATAGTGTTTGATAACCTTGTTTTATTCATCTTTTCCTCTAAAACCCTTGATCCTTTGGCTGCAAAAAATGGTAAGATGCAAGTTAACAACATAAACTGTGGGCACAGGCATGTTTTTTTTTTTTTTACAGTTAAGCTGAAATATTGGTATTGCCATGGCAACGTAAATAAATTTAAACAGGATCACTTTTCTTCATTTTGCATAAAATCTATTCTTTAGATTTTCTTCATTATTTGCATGCAACAAGATTGCAACAATGCTCACATGTTAATGCTATTTGAATAAATAATAGTTAAACGGAGAGATTTTTAATTATCCTTTGTGGAACGATAACTGGATGGTCTAGAATTTCCTCTGTTATGTTTAATTTTTTTTGATACTGTTTAAATAGAATATAAATCCATTCCTCGTCTAATATGTATCCTGTATCAATGCTAGCCATTCCCTCAGAAATTTTCTTCAACCTCTTTACCGTTGCTTGTATCTAAGCGTGAACACGTGACCCTGAAACATGTTCTAATTGGGTGTCAAACGTGGCATGATTGGTCATCAAACATTAGCAGACTGTAACACGAACTTTCACGCTCAAAGTTCAACACACGAAATGGCTGAAAGATTGGACATTGAAGACTTCTTCAGAGAAATTGACCCTGACCTGTGTCAATATGCATACACCTTTCCCAAAAGTGGTTTTACTTCTAGTACAACCTCAAAATATTGGCGGGAGCAAGACTTTCAGAGTCTTTCAGAGCATGAAAGTTTGCATTACTGTCTGCTAAACTTCAAATGTTTGATGACCTATCATGCCATGTTTGACACCCAATTAGAGCATGTTTCGGCATCAGTTGTTCACGTTTAGATGCAAGCGACAGTATTTGACTTTATCTGGTGTAAAAAAAACTGGATAAAGTAAGGAGGTAAGTTATGTATCAAGACTTTGTTGATGGAGGATTATGTGTACCAATAATTGGTAATTGTGGAAGTCCTGGCAAAATCATTTAAACTTGGACGGATTTCTAGATAAATAAATAAACTACTTTTTTCTGGTGTAAAATTCCTATGTGGGTGGATGTAATGTGCTGAGAAAATTTTGGTAGATTTCACCGCAGGAAAGTCAAGAAAATCAAAATCTAAGGTACAGACAGAAACACTGAAGACGTCATTCATTTGGCAGATTACTTTTTAAGACTTGGGGGATATGTATTAACTCTAAACTAGGATGGTTGTAAAATACTATTTCATTATTGCTCAATAGTTCAGTTTGATCGGTTTGTAGTGGACTGGGAGTAAATACGAACATTAGCAAGCACAACATATTAAAGTGCACCGAACCCCCAAATTTTTTTTCGCTAAAACGAATCTACTTGTTATTTGAAATATTCTGTGAAAAAATTTTTGCATTCGGTTAAATCCTTGATTTTCTTGTCCCGACGAAATCTCAAAAATAGCTCCAAAACACCGCCATTTTGTTTCATGACCGACTTTCAGGAGAATGGGCCCAGCGGCTGTTCTGACGTCAATATCTCGCATCCTCTCATTTCCTTCAGGATGGTGTAATACACATTCGAAAAGTGGGCAGAAACGCCTTCCAGAAGTGCTGTCGACTGTTGCAGCAATATCTCAGATTTAAAGAAAGATATTCTGTACAATTTACTTGCGATGATCGGTCAATGGTACAATAAAGACGTAAACGATGGTTGATTTTGTCAAACCGAAACAAGCGAACCGAGTCTGTGAGAACCATTGAAGAACTCTCACTGGAATTAGTTCCACAGACTTTGAAACGCTACTTTCAAAATTTTCTGCTTAAAGCTAACCAGCAATTTGTAGAAATACTATGGACAACCTATATCTTCCAATCCCGCAGTATTTATAAAATAGCTGGCAAAGTTGTGTGATCAATCAAGAAGCGTTACGACAAATAATTTATACTAATATGTAAATAGGTCACAACTGTATGCCGCCAACCAACACTCATTTCTCTTTCAATTTAGATAAAAGTCAAAGATTAATCCTTTAGAAATACATGATAACAACAAAAGTGTTAGACTGACAGAGTTTTTCGAAGGTTTGGAAATCAGCAGTGTGACAAACATTCTGTGCAAATAGTGCAGTGTCGAAAATATGACCGCATAACATTATCTGCAGACCGCTTAGGGAACACATCCTTTTCACTTATCTGACGAATTTCACGCAAACTTTGAGAAAAATTTACATTGGTTATTTGGAGTTACGACTTAAAATGTGTGAGAATGTGAAATCGGTAATTGTGTGAAATGTTTCCTTCTGCCTTGCTTTCCGCAGCTTCAAAAATACAGGTCCAAACAGTACGATTTTAAATCAGTCGAAGCCAGTGTTTTGGAGGTCATCAAGTCTCAAAAACTGCAACAATTACGTCGCTCTTATAAACATGAAGCATTCAACAGAAAGTAAAACAAAAACTGGATTTAATAGGACAATCATATCTTGACATAATACATTCTTGCTAAGGACAAATGTAAACGGGCTATAAACACGTGTGGAAATCTTGCGTTTAGGTGATGAAATTACCATACAAACAGTCCTTGAGTTTTCTTTCCTGCTTTTCGTTTGCCTGCGCCTCCACTTCGTATCTAGCTTTCCATTCCTAATATAGAAGCAGTTTGTCCGCAAAGAAGTCTTCCCCTTAGTCGCTTGAAATATTGTAAATTTCTCTCAAAGCTCTAAGCAGTGAGTTCACAGTTGTCAAACATGCTCAATCGAAGTTTATTTCGGAGTCTTCCGAATCGAAACTTAACTCTGACTCCAGTGACGAAAAAGAAATGGTTCTGAAACAAAACTTGGACGTTTTAGTCCCAGAATACATTGGAACAATTTGATTAGTTTTGTTTTCCATTTTCTGCAGCAAATACAGAGAGCTGATGAAGGCGCCATTGTGTTTGGTTCCTGGGTAGACGTCATCAGCAACCGCCGCCCCAGAATACGGTCACACAACACTTTAAGCGCTACTTTGAAAGGGCATAGAAAATTGAGGATTCAACCAAATTAAAAAATTCTTTGGCCAAAATGCCTCCAAATAATAAGTGGACTCGTTTTAGTGAAAAAAAAAAATTGGGGGGTTAGGTGCACTTTAAATGAATATTGTGGTCAAATACAGTAAACTAACTAAGCACACTTCAGCAAGATAATCTCTTGCCTTTGTCCTTTATTTTTAAGGTCATTAAAGCAAGCAATGTGAAATTTTGTTTGTTTGTAAGCGATTAAACCACTTGTATTTTTGTTTTGGTCTTTATTTTATAGATGATGATATTTCCCGTGGTTGTTGCGACTATGTACTGACAATTTTTTCAGTCCTCATTTTTATTTGTACTTTGCCTTTCTCCCTGTGCTTTTGTTTGAAGGTAATGTCTATAATAATATTATTGTTGTTTTGTTAACCTGGCTCCCTATTTCCTGATAGTTTTTTTGAATGATGATGTGGTAATAAATGAATGAAGTCAGTGCTCACTGAGCACTTTTCGCTCTAACTATTGACGAGCAGTATAACCTTGTGTAAGTCCTCATGTAAGGTGACCAAACACAGTTTTTGATGCCTGAGCTTTATTCACCCTTTTTTCTAAAACCCCTGATCCTTTGGTTGCAAAAATGGCAAGATGCAAGTTAACAAAACAGAGTTTGTGTGTTGGTAGTTTAACTGACACATGCGCTGTTGCCAGGGGAACATAAATACATGCAATGTCAACAATTTTTCAGTTTTTCATTCTATCAAGAAATCACGTCCATAGATCAATTTGTTATGCCAAATTTAGCAAATATGTGAAGTTTCATAAGAATCTGTTGCAAAGTCATGAAAATATGCAACCCCTAAACTTGCCAATTTTTACTAAGAACTCTAGGCGACGGGACAAGCATTGCCCAGCATTTTTTCTGCCCTTTTATCATACACTGATGCCCACCTCTGTGTATTGGTGATTGCAGGGGAATTTTAAGAAGTCAAATGCCTTATTCATTTACCAATAGGTAGTTCAGTAACTAACTATTGATCAATTTGACACGGTCCAGCTTGCTTGACTAAAATATTTCATTTAGATAGTACAAGAATATGAAAGAGCAGTTATATTCCGTCTTGGTCGATTGTTGTCTGGAGGAGCTAAAGGACCAGGTAACACTTTACTGTTTACGCCTTTCATAATTTATATTACTACTTTCTCTGTTCTGTCCAGTAGCCCAGGGGCTAGTGAATTATGTTGTTGGGCTAGTGGTTTCTATCCTCTGCTTGCCCAGTGGGTATGTGTGTATTTCTTTAGGAGGGGGAAGAGAGGGGGGGGCAGATTTTGGGGTACAGATTTTTGTATTTATTTAATATGGAATTAGTTAATCATGCTAGTAAGGAATTTTTTTGAGTTACTGAGATTGACTTTCAGGCCAGTACGTCAAAATTGATTTGCTTTGCACCCTGATGTTGGAATGGAGTAGTTTGATGTTTTGATTGTCAAGAAGCCAATCCTGAAGTACTTGTAGTGAAGTGATTACTTTCCCTTTCTGGACAGATATTTTCCATAAGTTTGCCATCGCAGTACAATTGATCAGCAAGCCATGTATGAACTGCTCATTCATTGTTAGTCCCTGTTCAGTCAAATTACTACATCAGAAGAGCAAATTAGTAGGGTTTTGAATACAGCAGATTTCTTGTAAGGGAGAAGGATACTGGGAAAATTGTCAAATTCAAGTGTCATGAACACTGTTTTGTCAGGCATTTTTTCCCTGGTTCTTCAGCTCTTTCTTGTCTGATTTTGTGACTATGATGTATTTGTAGGGTTGTTTTTCATTTTGCCCTGCATTGACTCCTATCAGAAAGTGGATTTGAGGACAGTGTCATTTGATGTTCCACCACAGGAGGTACTAACAAATTTAGGTTATGTTAAATCAATCTGTAGGCTGTGTTCTGTGGTAGCCTTGATAACAAGCAAGTGGCTATCTTTATCTTCAGATTCTGACCAAAGACAGCGTGACTGTGGCAGTAGATGCTGTTGTTTACTTCAGAATCAGTGACCCCACTATGTCAGTCACCAATGTGGAAAAGGTTGATCAGTCAACTCGCCTGCTAGCTCAGACAACATTGCGAAACTTTCTGGGCACCAAAAACCTGAGTGAAATTTTAGCAGACCGTGAAGAAATCAGCCATGCCATGCAGGTATGAATAATGATACAATGAACATTGCTCTTAAAGTGTAATAACTTGGAGGTTGATGTAAATTGATGATATATTATTTAGTATAGATGGTTATCTGTTCTGTATACTGTCAAATACAGACTTTGTGGATTTACGATCACAAGTGTTTATTTTGAGATCTCCCTTATGAGGTCAATTTCTGAACAATCAGGGTAGACATTAGGATCTAACCTGGGTTTTACTTTAGGCATTCTTATTTGTTTTGGTGGTGGGAGGGTGAAAAACTAAGGAATGCCATCATATATTTATTTGAGCAGTCCACAGTAAAAAGTCAGGAATCTGGACTTTTTTTGATTGTTCATAAAACAAAATACAATATTCAGTATTGCTCTGATTGGTTCCCTAAGTAAGTAAGGAGGGAAGGAAAGAAGGAAGGAAGGAAGGAAGGAAAGAAGGAAAGAAGGAAGGGAGGAAGGGAGGGAGGGAGGAAGGAAGGGAAGGGAGGGAAGTACAATGAAACCTGTATTAATCGGACCTCATATTAAGCAGACCCCCTCTATTAAGCGGACACTAGCTTGAGTCCCTAAATTTCCTTCCCACATTTACTGTAAAATAAACCTGCATTGAGTGGACACCTCTGTTAAGCGGACATGGACACCAATATTAAGCCATTTTGTTTCACAAAACCTGCAATAAGCGGACACTTCAAGGGCATTTGACCTCTGAAAGTTCAGCTGAGACTCCTTTAACATTGTTCAGCAATGCTATTTTAAAGCTAAATGATTATTCCAGATTGCTGCATTGACTGACTGCACATTGTGCTATGAGCAGTCTTTAATCTCACACTGTGTTACACTGTGCTACAAAAGGGTTAATAATCAGCTATTATTGCACAACATATTGAAACCTGTTTTGAGCAGACACCAGCTGTATTTAGCAGACACTAATGAGGATCCCAAGGGTGTTCACTTAATACAGGTTTCACTGTATGAAGAGTAATGTTTTCTTGATGTTGTTATTGTAACTTGTTGTTGCAGTCCTCGCTGGATACTGCTACTGATCCTTGGGGGGTGAAAGTGGAACGTGTGGAAGTGTAAGTGTCACAGACAGTGGTAATAGGGAGTTAAAGCAAATCGCTATGGCTGGCGCTGATATGGCTGCCGGAAGTAAATTTCCCCCAAAATGAGACATTGCACATGTACGTCAGTCGCATCCAGCTGTAGCGTGAAATCTGACTGAGTGAGTCGGGATGTTTTGCCGTAGTGGCTACTATGCCGGGTCTATTTTGCTTCTGTGGCCCTTTTCAACGGACTTCTCGGCATTTTAAGAATTGCATTGGATACTATATCCTTAAAACTCAATTTAAGTCAAAGATTGTGTCAAGGTTGCCTCTCATAAGCTTGTAAATCTGTATCCTGAATTTACGATAAGTTTTAGCAAAGGTGTTGGAATGGCAAAGCGAATCTAGTGAAATATTCGTGTTGAGCACAAGGTTGTTTTTCTTCGGTTAAGTTTGCTTTGAGGGTTTAGTGAAGATGTTTTTTATCTGGATAACTATACGATGCTCTTTTGCTTCTTTGAGTATTGATATATTTGTGTTCTTCACTCGATATTCTTTGAGACATTTGTCTCTGAAATTACATATTTCATCCATCAAATTGTTATGGTACAAAGTGTATGGCATTCGCTTTCGCTCAGAAATAACCTGTTCTGGCGTCCGACCAAATAACAGTCATCGTCCTTTGAGCGAAGCCATTTGGCTGTGAGAAACTAAATGAAAGAGATTTTAAACTCCTTAGCCGATGTTTCTCTCATCTTTGTATTTCGCTTTACGCGCTAAACTTAAAATTTGGCAGACCACTGAGACGTACTCTCCCCAGACCTTTTCAGACACGGCAGCCGTAGTAGCAGCAGCCATAGTGATTTGCTTAAACTCCCTAATAAGTTTGCACAACCAAGTGACTGACTATTAAACAACTTGTGATTTGATTGGCTGTACATGATGATGATTATAAATAGCAGTTTTTGTTAAAAATGTAGCTTGTTACTATTGATGGTGTAGTAAAGTTTGATAGACATGCTGTTTTTGACAGATTCTTATCAAAAACTCCATAAGTCTCCAAGTTTTATTTGATTCATAAGAAAAAGTAGTAATGCACACTTGGGATTATTCTGGACATTCTCATGCCTTGGTCTGCTCTTGGAGACTGGAGTTAGCCATCAAATGATACTTGTTTTCCTGAGTGAGAATTTTAAAACACATATTTGTTTCAAGAATGATGTTTTCTTATTGTGTAGTTCCAGAAAATATCCATACCCCCACCACAGAGGGAATTTCACACAAGTTCCCCCTCCTTCCCAGAATTTCCATTTTTTGAGCACAAAAATCCCCCACCCCTTCAGAATTTCCACAAGTTTTATGTATACCACCCATACCCTCTGGAAAAAATAGTTTTGGCAAGAAAGTGTGTTAAAGTTAAAGTTAAACACTCCAAACACTTAGCTGTCTGCATTCCATGTCACTGCTGTTTATTCTCGAGTGATCGTAGCATCTGAAGATACACACAGAGAAAACATACAGCAGTTTATTTAAACATGCTTTAAAAGAAAATAGATAAAATGGTAACTTGTCAAATTACCTTCCTAAACGACTAAGTCTCTTTGTAAATGTGGTACAATTTCTGTTGAAGGACTGATGAGTGTGGATGAAATTGACACCATACTTTTAATCGAGAACACAATTGCCGACACACTCGCAACAAAAGCCAATTTTACAGCAAAATTACATACAAATGGACAGAGATAAACAAGAATAAGAAATTCTCAAGGTTATGAAATCTTAACATCATTTCTACCTTTGTAAAGAAATTCATTTTCACGAAAGAAATTGACTGCCACTTGACAGCTTCCAAGACTGATGTGAAAACAAACTAGGCTTGTCACCAGTGCTTTTTGGTCTACATGGTGACTCCAATGTAGACTGGTAACAAGTAATGTTGGCCATTTCCACATAACGGCATGTTCTTCGCTAGCTTCCAAAGTGCTTTTTGAAGAAAGAAAATTTATTTCAAATATAATGCGATTCAAATACAAGTATTCAAGCTACTATTTTTCACATGAAAGATCTACTTAGTAGGTAAGAAAGGATTTTTGAACAGCTAGATCGATACTTGAATCCATATTGAATCAAAGGGCATCTGGAAACGAAATCGACCATCCAACCCCCCTCCCCTCCAGAATTTCTTGGGTCTTTGATCCCCACCCCTTCGGAATTTCCAATACTCTCCGTGGTAGGGGTATGGATATTTTCTGGAACCACACATTAACTCTTTGGGTGCTGATATTTTATGTGACCCCATCCCCTTGCTGTGTGGCCTTCTTTCACAAGGACATTTGATCTACGGCTGCACTCCTCATTCAACTCTCTTTGTTCTATTTTTGCATCAATTGGCCAATTCCCCCTATGGGTTGGGCCTGCAGGGAATCATGGTACTTGTATTACTCACCTTGGACTGGATATTTATTTTGATGAATACAACTACCATGATGTCCCTCAGGCTCGTCTCATAGAGGGTATTGGTCATAAAGATTTTCAGGGTTTGTGCGTCACAATTATGCACTGGAAAAACAAGTTCATCACATCTAACCCTTTTCAGTTCCTTTGTATGCCATCTGGTAGCCTCCTTCTAAGCATAAAGGTTGTGTATCATTTTGAAAAAACTAGGCATTTGTGGTGGAAAGATAAACAACAGAAAGTCCTACATTCAATTTCTCAGCTGACAGTTGTATTGTCTCTTATGTCTTTAGGAAGGATGTGCGTCTCCCACAACAGCTCCAGAGAGCCATGGCAGCTGAGGCTGAAGCCACCCGTGATGCACGTGCTAAGGTAGGTCTGTTAACAAGCAGTTGATTTCACATTAAATATTGGGATTACACACTCCTGCCTAGTCACTACTACTAGTTTATTTCATTTCGAACATTGTCTATGTTTCATTTGTGGGCTAATGGAGAGATAGTGGTTTCTGATGTCCTTGTGATTAACTCCAAGTTGTTTCTTACCATTATTCCAGGTCATTGCTGCTGAGGGTGAGATGAATGCCTCTCGTGCTCTGAAGGAAGCTGCTGACATCATTTCTGAGTCTCCTTCTGCTCTTCAGCTGCGATACCTCCAAACGCTGACATCCATCTCAGCTGAGAAAAATTCCACTATCATCTTCCCTCTTCCTGTTGATTTCCTTAGTAGATTTTTGCCAAACAAGTGACTAGACGGCCAAAAGGGGACAAACAAGGAACGCTATACTGAGTCACCAATGACAGAAGTTAGTGTTCTTTAAAATGAAGCTGCTTCTAATGACACTTGCATGTATAACTTAGCTTGTACAGTAATTTTTTGTTCAGAGTTTTAAGATTGTCGCCCAGTTGTTTGACAACTATTTAAGTTGATTAACCCTATTTAGCCTGGGCTTCTTGTTTTGTTCATGCACTTAGTCCAAGGGAGGTGGGGGCACAAACCCATGCATCCTCAAAAGAATTCTCTCAATGGTAGTGAAACTTGTAAGGTTTTTTAAAAATTCATGCCTGTTACTGAAGTGATAATCACATGCTGTTTATAACACCACAGAATGCCAAAATTATGTCACACTTTTTCAAATGTCCACCATCTTGGATTTCAAATCTTTTTGAAATTAGTCAAGAACAGCTCCCAAATGGGTTCAAAAAATCTGGCAAATATCAGGATAAAAGAACTGCAGAGAATTTGTTATTTGTCGTCATAATATCAAAATTTTGACAAAAGCAAACTTTTAAGCACATGGAAAATATTTCATTTTGGTGAAACACTCTCTTAAACCATGGATGCTAGTACCTTGGAAACATCAAGTTAGGTGACCAAAAGCCAAGGCAGACACTTTGTACACACCCTCCCCCTCCTCCCCCCTCAGGCTAAATATGGTGAAGTATTTTATTACTGGTACTGGTACTGGTAATGTTTTGTGGCAGTGTCATTCCTAATCCTCTTTAAAGTGAGCCATATGTTGAACAATGTTTGTAACATGTCAGCAATCATGTGGAAACCTTTTAACTAGGTGATGTGCTTCTGTCTAATGTGCTAGAGGAAACTTTGTACATGTACTTGATTGCAAGTTGGTCATGTTGATGTTTCATCTAAAGTTACCCTAATTATGGCCCCAACGATTCCAATTCCACCATCCTTGGTTCACAGAGGAATTTGCATGTGGGTTTGCGGGTGGAGCTCAAGTGCACAACTCCAATGAGGTTTATCAACTCAGTTTTTGTAGTTTTTTGTATCAAAGGCAAACAGGAATTTAAAAATAATGCAAGATGTATGTATTTTAAAAACTGAAAGATAAATTGCCTTTGATGTTGATGCTGCACCCTTGGGCTGACCTGTTATTGGGACAGGAAAGTTGTCAAATACCCAGAGGGGGAGGGGCTGTGAAGGGGCTTGGAATTCACAGAGCCATTAGCAGATCAGCAGCAAGTTCATTAAATGAAGGCAGAGGCTGTAGATAGTTGGCACGACTGTATGCTTATGTATAAAGATGCCAGATTTTACAAAGTCCTTGAGAAAGTAAGGAAAATAATAATATGGATATCAATTTTGTCAAAACGATGCATTACCTTTTCTGCTTGAGCATTAGTTATTCAGGATCAGGTTGTTATTTAGCATGGTACTAAGTGCATTGATAAGTGATTGTATGAAGTAGATTTACTATTTACATATGGCTCATGAAGACAGACTGTATGAAAAGTCCCACATTTTGTCTGAAGTCCAGTCATATGTCTAGTATCTGGATGGAGTGACATTAATATCCAAGAAGGATAATGATGCAAGTAGTAGTCTGTAGCAGTCACTAGGACTATGTGTAATGTTATAATGATCTTCAATTTTACAATACCTGAAAGTGTTTTCTTAAAATAACTATTTAATAATGAGCATCTTAAAATTAATGTTGGTATAACCACCCTTGTAACAGGGAACTTTTCGGAAACACAGTAGTACAGTTACGAAAGCTTTTGATATTTAACATGTAGAACATTATACCAGTGTATCACATTAAAGTTGAGAAAATTGTTTATATGTCATCATTCTCAAATGTGTAGCTCCAGAAAATATCCATACCTCCCCCACAGAAGGAGTTTTTCCAAGACCTCCCACTCCTCTGGAAATTCCAATTAAACTTGATACATTTCTTTAAATTTTTTGGTCTCAGAGAACCCCCACCCACAAGGAAATTCAAATCCCTTCTGTATGGGGGGGGAGTATGGACATTTTCTGGTACTGCAATATGTTATAAATATCCTGAGCTGTATTCAATGTCAAGAGAGCAACCTTGGTATGATGTGTATTGTGATGGTAACTAGCCAGAAACATTTGTGAGCCTGTGTTCCTTTCCCCACAATAATTCAAGGGAGGGCTTGTCTTTGAGAATGTTGGCCCTTAGGCCTTGATGGTTGTATTTAACAAGTGTAAGGGAGGGCTCTTATTTGAGAATGTTGGATCTTGGGTCTTGATGGTCTTATTTACCCAGTGTGAGTGACTGAGGGAGGACTCTTCAAGAATGTTGGCCCTTAGGTCTTGATGGTCTTATTTACCCAGTGTGAGGGAGGGCTCTTCTTTAAGAATGTTGGCCCTTAGGTCTTGATGGTCTTATTTACCCAGCACAAGGGAGGTCTCTTCATTGAGAATGTTAGCCCTTAGGTCTTGGTGGTCTTATTTACCCAGTGAGAGGGAGGGGTCTTCTTTGAGAATGTTAGCCCTTGGGTCTTGATGGTCTTATTTACCCAGTGTGAGGGAGGTCTCTTCGTTGAGAATGTTAGCCCTTAGGTCTTGGTGGTCTTATTTACCCAGTGTGAGGGAGGGCTCTTCTTTGAGAATGTTAGCCCTTAGGTCTTGATGGTCTTATTTACCCAGTGTGAGGGAGGGCTCTTATTTAAGAATGTTAGCCCCTAGGTCTTGATGGTCTTATTTACCCAGTGTGAGGGAGGGCTCTTCGTTGAGAATGTTGGACCTTAGGTCTTGATGGTCTTACTTACCCAGCATGAGGGAGGGCTCTTTGAGAATGTTGGATCTTAGGTCTTGATGGTCTTATTTATGAAGAGTGAGGGAGGGTTCTTATTTGAGAATGTTGCCCCCAGGTCTTAATAGTCTTAGCCCCACCTCACACTTGGGAAATGAGGCTATCAAGACCTGAGGGCAAAATCCCAATTTGATTAAATTATGTCAAATGAAAATCTATCCTACATATGCATGACCAGATCAAGTAATTGCAAAATGACATTTGAAGAAAGAAACTTGCTTCAGGCTGGCCTAGAAAATTAAGAATGACAACTTCTTAAATAACCTTATCTTTATTACTGGTCAATGTAAAATATATAAAGAGACGAAATATTTATTTCACAAACAAAAACAAATGTCACTTGCTATAACATGCAAAACTTGTGACCAGCACATCTAATAATAGTAATTATATTTAAATTATTAATCCAATGCAAACATATGAAACAACATGGAGTCAACAAACCATCACGGACAATTTTTGCAGTCCTCAAAAAGTGCCAGAATAAACTAGACTGCGTTGTTTATGAAATGTTGTTTATACAAGTTCTCAAACCATCACTGAATGTGCAATCGGACTCAATTTGTGCAAAGCTATTCCATTAGCATAATTATCATGCTCACAGGAATGCCAAGTAATGATATTCATAACTCAACTCTTTTAACAACTTTGACATTCAATGATTTTTATTCTTGATAATGATGTTGCATACATCGAAACGTCAAATAACGTTATTCCTTATATTTCAACAATTTTATTACCTTGGAAATAACAAAACACGAAAGAATTACATTGCCTACTCATTAAACCTACACAGGTATTATAGAGCTACTGCAGGTGAATAAACTTATACAAAACATAGCTTGTAAGTAGTGTCAGCATGTCCACATTTAGAAGCATAAGCTTGATATTTTATATATATTAATATATTCTGTCTATTTCAATATACTGATAATATGCTAGCCATACAGATATCTATAAGTTTTGATTTAAAAACACTCTTGCTCAAAAACTACGCACTAAAATTATGGTATTGAAAAAATTGCCAAATGTTTATCATATGCATATTTAACACACACTAAACCTTTAGTTTTGAATTTTTGCACACTAGAAATTGGCATGGTAACACTGAACAAAGAACAAAACACCTTTTAGTTATTAAATGTACTTGTTCTGCAATACAACATGCAAAGAAATCAAGAAAACAAAAGATAACACCTATTACTGCAACAACGGGTGTGCTTTTTCCGAATCTCGGCTGAGTATCAGCCAACACTCTTGGATGACTATCTGTTAACTTGTCGTCCATGTGTCAGTTGCCATAGTGACAGATATGTCAACTGAGTGTCCGTCGAGCATTGGTCACCATGTTATTCAGGTTGATAGACTACCTAACCTTTTTCCTAGTAAAGTCTGCATATGAGCCAAGTGGCCCATCAGGCCAGCTTATCCCAGTTTCTGTAGCATGAAGCGACTAGGAGTACTTCTACTCCCCCCTGGATAGGATGCTAGTCCATCGCAGGGCAACCCCCGGTATTAAGGTCCCTGGTACCCATTTATATGCCCGGGTAACTGGAGAGAAGCACTGTGAGAAGAAAGTGTCTTGCTCAAGAACACAAGACAAGAACACAATGTCCAAGGCTCTAACCTGGACTGCTTGATCCAGAGATGAGCACACTACTGGTAACCATGAGTCCACCGTGCCTCTCACAACCTTCCTCTTGACTGCATAAGGCCCATGATCAAAGAAGCTTGCACACCGGTGATGTGACCAGCATCATGAATTTAAAGACTAATCGAATATATATAATATTAAAAGAGGAATAGAAGTAAGGACTTGCTCCTAATGTGCACTTAATAAATCCCATCGCTTCTAATACAACTCAATACATTTTCAATAAGTCTACTGTTCACTTTAGCAAAACTCAACTACATTTTGACCCCTATTAAATGGCCACCCTCAGGGAAATGGGTAGTGGCCTCCTAAAAGGGGTTGGCCATTTAATAAAGGTAAAAACAATAGAAAAACCCTCATCAGGACTTTGATTACTGGCCGCCTAATAGGGGTGGCCATTTAAGGTGGCCAAACAGTTTTCATGCACGCTTTTGCTGATGCAATTCAGCACGTGCACAAGGATTGCAAAAAACAAACATGCTGTCAATAGAGCGATCATTTTATTTACTCAACAGCCCCACTATCTGTGCTATTTTTCTCTATAACTGAACGTGGTGTATTGATGGTTTTAGTCTTTTATTACAAAGATATGTTAGAAAAGGTAACGATGCAAAGAACCCAGTAATTCTCAGCTTTTTCTTTGTTACCNTTTGGCACGAAAATACTTTAGGAAATAAGTAACTGGAGTATTGAAAAAAACTGGACTTTAGCAAAGGAAATTCTAGATATTCCAGTGAACCTTCCACGAGGGATAATTAAAGATCTCTCAGTTAAATTATTAGTAAAATGGTGTTAACTTGTGAGAATCCTTACAAGCTTGTTGCATGCAAATTATAAAGAAAATCTGACCACTACCAGTAGATTTTCTACAAATAAACAAAACCGATTTTAAAGGCCTGTTTATATTTATTTTTGTTGCCATGGCAATGGCACATACGTCAGCTTAATCAGCAAAAAACAAAAGTTTGTGTTGTTAACTTACTTGCTGCCATTTTTGGCGACCAAGGGATCAAGGGTTTTAGAGAAAAAGGTGAATGAAACCCAGGTATCAAAAACTGTGTTCAGCCACCTTAATAGGTGGCCGCTTAACAGTGTTTCGACTGTAATAATAAGTTATCTTTCAAAGAACACACAAATGTAATGCTGAAAAGAGTATACGCTAAGATTGCCGCACTTCGTCGCCTCAAGCGCTTAGTACCCATAGATACTTTATTACTTTTATACAGGAGC